TAAATCTTCATAATTATTCCTTGCTTTACCATCTTTTCCAATTCAGACTGAACTTCATTTCCTAGGCTTGCCGGGATGCGTCTTGGAAGGGCACGTACAGGCGGATACTCAGGTTTTGTATACATTTTACATTCAGAGTTTATCACTCCAACTCCTTGAAACACCTCATGAAATTGTTCGAGTATTTTTTTCGTTTGATCATGTAAAATCATTTGATGCGAGTTTATTTGATTGATTCGTTTCAAAATCTCAAGCTTCTCGCAAGTGTCGCCTGTGATGAGTGTCTGCGCATCGACATCCGCAATAATAAATTCACATAAGCTTTTCTTTTCACCATATTGGCATAACACTTCACATTTCCCCACGATAGGTAATTCCGAATGTCCATATGCATATGCCTTTAACGACGTGGGCTTGATTATTGGCTTTGCTGGCCACAAGCTTATCACTTTCTGAGGAAGCACATTAATCTGCGCACCAGTATCCAAATGTACAGACGTCTTATTGCCATTTATACTTATCACAGCGGACCATTTGTCCGACCGAACGGTCTTAACAAGAACCTTATTTACATTGATACCTCCTTCGAAGGATTCGTCGCCTTCATTTTCCGCTATAAGGTTTCTTATGCGTCTGGTCCTACAAACTGCTGCGAAATGGTTTAGTTTCCCGCATGCGTTACATGTCTTTCTGTATGCTGGGCAATTACCATATCTGTGTTGCTGTCCACACCACTTGCATTCATTTCTAGTGCTTGCAATACTGGGTCCTGCTTTAGCTTTTTCTACTCGACTTCTATTTTTCTCCCAGGTATTTTTGTTAATCTTCTCAATCATGGCCTGTTTTTCTTCCCATGACGCTATTTGTACGCAGACAGACTCGGCAATCGTGGCTACAGAAATTGCTTTTGGTAGGGTCAACTGGGGATCTTCCAACAACTTCTTTTTTACTTCCTGATCTATCATTCCAATTATGAAACGATCCCTGATGAGAGATTCAGCCAATTCTTCGAATTCACATTCCTGGGCGAGTTGTTTTAATTCCGTAACGAATTCAGTTATACCTTGGCCTTCCTTTTGTACGCTTGTGAAAAATTTGTTTCTAATTTGTATTATATTTTTAAAGGGTTTGAAATGTTTTGAGAACATGTCGAGCATCTCTTTAATACTTGGGTAAGCTAGAGGTGACAACCACTCATTGTCCGGTTGAAAGAATTTATTTCACCATCAAATAGTTCTCTTTTATACAGCGAGGAGTTTTACATATTGAAAGATCGCCATGGATTTGCATAGCGTTGAAAGATAAAATGATATTTACATGAAAATAGTTACAACATATCAAATAGACAAAATTCATAGTATATGATAATCCATCACATATCACAACACAAGCTTTAAGACATTTTAGTCTTATACAGATTCTCCAAGCAGAAATGTAGGATACATACAGGAATAACAGTAATAGTACCAGTAATCAGCAATGTACAACAACAAAAAGCTTTATTAAGACCTTTTAGTCTTATACAGATTCTCCAAACAGAAATGTAGGATACATACAGGAATAACAGTAATAGTACCAGTAATCAGCAATGTACAAAAACAAAAAGCTTTATTAAGACCTTTTAGTCTTATACAGATTCTCCAAACAGAAATGTAGGATACATACAGGAATAACAGTAATAGTACCAGTAATCAGCAATGTACAACAACAAAAAGCTTTATTAAGACCTTTTAGTCTTATACAGATTCTCCAAACAGAAATGTAGGATACATACAGGAATAACAGTAATAGTACCAGTAATCAGCAATGTACAACAACAACAAGCTTTAAGACATTTTAGTCTTATACAGATTCTCCAAACAGAAATGTAGGATACATACAGGAATAACAATAATAGTACCAGTAATCAGCAATGTACAACAACAAAAGCTTTAAGACATTTTAATCTTATACAGATTCTCCAAGTACAGAAATGTAGGATACATACAGGAGTAACAGTAATATCAAGTATAGTTTATCGCTCATTCACATTCTACAGTGTATAAATTTATTGACTTTAAACTTATATATCGTTTGCATTCAATAAGGAATACTTCCCATTGTCTGTAAGAGGTTTAGATGGGACAATAAGATCGAATTTTATATAAATTGGTTTAGAAACTCGTACATAATCAACTTGACACCATATCAAGAATAACCTATCGCTCACTCACATTCTACAAAACATTCTACAGTGTATAAATTTGTTGACTTTAAACTCGTATATCGTTTGCATTCAATAAGGAATACTTCTCATCATCTGAAAGAGATGTACGAGGGCCATCCAATAAATAAGTTTCCCTATTTTTTTTACAATAAACAACATTATTTACAATTATGCAGTTATTTTATTTTCATTATACAACTCATAGAATACCTCTCTACATAATCACCATTTCTGTCCAAACATTTTTGATACCGTTGTAGCAATTTTTTGATACCACTGTTGTACCAAGCCGTGTCCTGTCTTCGTAGCCAGTGGTTCACCTCCGCCTGCACTTCGTCATCATTCGCAAAGTGCTTGCCTCCAAGGTGCAACTTGAGCGCTGGAAAAAGATGGAAGTCGCTTGGGGCAAGTTCCGGAGAATAAGGTGGATGTGTGAAAATTTCCCATTTGAAGTTTTCCAGCAACGTTTGGGTCGTTCGAACTGCATGAGGGCGAGCATTGTCATGAACGAGTAACACCTTCCGAGACCAAAGTCCAGGACGTTTCCGTTTTATTGCAGCTCTGAGTTTAGTGAGGACTTCGCAGTACCTCGCAGCGTTAACCGTAGTGTCTGGGGGCAGGTAGTCAACCCATAAAACACCCTTACAGTCCCAAAAGACGATAGCTCGTAGATGGGACAATAAGATCGAATTTTATAAAAATTGGTTTTTGTCCTTATAGAGATAATGTTACTTTAATTTCCTTCTTCACGATTTAATGCTCTCTTTCGTGGAGATTTTATATCGTAACGGAGCAATTTCCTTATCAGCACGTCTACGTTAAAAGGTAGTGAGTGACTTGTAGCTCGGTCGATACTGGAATCGCTTGGAATTGTAGATGGGTGTTGGTAGATGGTACATCGTTTGATTTCGTTTAAGACTAAGAAAAGAAGAACCGTTATGTTTATTACTTCTTTGAGGATTTTTTTGTAAATAAATATATGAAACTAAAGAATTTAAGAATGAAAATTTTATTTTATACATTAATCATTCTTCTATACTCCTTATGGCGATGAAAATATATTGGGAGGGCTTGGTTCATGAGTGGTGAACCCTCTCAGCGGTACACCAATTTAATCTACCAGATTGCTTCTTAGAGTTCTAATACTGTATTGGATCATTCTGTTTATATATGCTACACTGAAGGGTGGAATCTTAGAAATGGTTTTCAAGTAAACTATGAACATTAGGTTTTAGGACAGTAGAATTACATATAGTATTTGCATCGAGCAATGCTCTTCCGACAAACAATAAGTACAAGTTAAGGAAATAAGGAATTTCCTGATCGTGTGTAAATGAAAGTTGCTGATGGCTTACGCCATCTATCGGGATAAAATATTAACTAATCGTTGATTTTTAATTATTACAGAATTGGTCAAATACCGTTTCTTGATTAATCAAGTTGCACGATAAGGAAATGTCTTTTTTTTTCACAATTTATTTACCTGATCCAAGTACAAATTCACTTTTGTACTATTTTTTTCACAATAAGTACAAGGTCAATTAGGCTATTATTACCTTTTCTTACACTACTAACTAATTTTTACAACGTTTCGTTCGCAGAAAAATAAATAGGGAAACTTATTTATTGGATGGCACTCATATATATGTATATTTATCAATTATTTTATATAATTATATCTATTTATTCATATATTTATCATTATATAATCATATTTATTCATACGAACGAGAAGTGCTCCTCAGTGAAATAGGCCTTGAGGGACTCTCTTTGGAGCTCCTGTTGAATGAGGTGGTGAGAAACAGAGCTGGAGCGTTTGCGTTGTTCAAATTTTGGAAGACGGCTGAAGAGAAAAGGAAGCTATATACATAATCTAATTGATGTAAATAATCAAATGTAAATAATCTTTGTCAGGATTAGAATGACGAATCCTGTATGGGACTTTGATTCCAGTAAAAGGCTTGTTGTTGCTGTTGCATATAGTCACAGTATAGAAAATACTATACTATACCTACTACATATATCTCTGTATTCTTAGTTCTCTTCTCTTCACTTACTCTGTAAACTGGCGAATCCTTTATAGGACGAGAGGTCCTCAATAAAGGCTTTTGTTGTTGTTATATTTATTCATATTTATATTTATTCTGTATTTAACCTTATATAATCTTATATGTACTTTGAAATAAAGTAGTTTCAATCTCAATCTCTCTCTCTTACTCTATTATCACTGGTTTTATTATTTGAGTGATGAATCTTCTTCTTTTTAATTATTCTCGAACTTTCGCCATTATAGTCTAGTGAGGAGCCAATTCCTGTTGCCAGCACTGGTTGTTGCTGGAGTGTTCATCGACTTGTCAGTATATAATCGCCGTGTTCTGTTCTGAACAGTGTCACCGACCGTAAGAAATGGTTAACATCACAATTAGGCTATTATTGTTTGAATTCGGTGAAGTTTCTTATTCGGTAATGGGAGGGTTGAGGGGGAATTGTCTTAATGGAATTTAGAATTGAATCTTTTGTTGATGAAATTATATTTTTTGCTTTTTTCCTCTTTCGTTTGTATCTACATTTAAAGGTGTTGTAAGTTGATATTTGTCACACGACCCTGTAATATTAATTTAGTACAATATAATATACTGCGGCCTGTGATTGTAAAACGACACTTGAAGTTACACCGCATGAGTTTCTTTTCCACGAAAAATCACCATTTTATTTCAAGGTGAAATATCGACTATTTCTATCCTTTATTGTATTATAAGTTACTTTATGTATCATTTACGAACGGAAAAATACGTCCAGGGTAGCCTAGTGGACATGGCATCTGCCCCGGTAAGCGGAACATTGTGGGTTCGATTCCCATCCCTGGACACTTTTATTTTTCCGTTCGTCATTACTCTTCATAATTCACCCTTTCATACCTCATCCAAAAAGGATAGAAATAGTCGATATTTCACCTTGAAATAAAATGTTGATTTTTCGTGGAAAAGAAACTCATGCGGTGTAACTTCAAGTGTCATTAATTTAGTAGTTTGAAAGTTATCACAATTCAGTTTTTTGTTGTTCATTGAGGTTACAACTAATTAGTATTTCGTGAAATTTTAGAACTGAAACTTTGCTTTTCTTCGTGACTGTAATTTGATATTGTGTGAGAATCCATAGTTTTTATTAGGGTATAGAGCATGGTGTTTTTAATACGTTTGGCTGTAATTTTGCTTTTTCGTTTCCCCTTTTGTTGAAACTTTTGTTTGTGTGTGCGTATATTCTACTTTTAGAAATAAATTTACACTCATGGACAAGGCTTTAAAAAAAGTTGAGTCTTTGATGTTCCTGTCGTCTGTTTTCTTTTTCTCTTTTTTTCTTGGAGGAGACAGTTATTTTTGTTCAAACTTGGTGGTGTGTCTTCAATAAAGGTCACTGTAATATATTTTAAAGTTATTGTCTCAATCCCAATATACATGCTAAAAGGTACAACTTCCTTAAGTTTTGTCCATGAGTGTGTTTTCAATAAAGGTCACTGTAATATCTTTCAGAGTTATTGTCTGAATCCCGATATATATGCTAAAAGGTACAGCTTCCTTAAATTTTGTCCATGTGTGTGTCTTCAATAAAGGTCACTGTAATATCTTTTAGAGTTATTGTCTGAATCCCGATATATATGCTAAAAGGTACAACTTCCTTAAGTTTTGTCCATGAGTGTGTTTTCAATAAAGGTCACTGTAATATCTTTAAGAGTTATTGTCTGAATCCCCCGATATAAATGCTAAAAGGTACAACTTCCTTCAGTTTTGTCCATGAGTGTGTTTTCAATAAAGATCATTGTAATATCTTTCAGAGTTATTATCTGAATTCCGATATACATGGTAAAAGGTACAGCTTCCTTAAGTTTTGTCCATGAGCGTGTTTTCAAAAAAGGTCACTGTAATATCTTTCAGAGTTGTTTTTTTTTAATCCCGATATACATGGTAAAAGGTACAACTTCCTTAAGTTTTGTCCATGAGTGTGTTTTCAATAAAGGTCACTGTAATATATTTCAGAGTTATTGTCTGAATCCTGATATATATGCTAAAATGAACAACTTCCTTAAGTTTTGTCCATGAGTGCGTCTTCAATAAAGGTCACTGTAATATATTTCAGAGTTATTGTCTGAATCCTGATATATATGCTAAAAGGAACAACTTCCTTAAGTTTTGTCCATGAGTGCGTCTTCAATAAAGGTCACTGTAATATCTTTCAGAGTTATTGTCTGAATCCCGATATATATGCTAAAAGGTACAACTTCCTTAAGTTTTGTCCATGAGTGTGTTTTCAATAAAGGTCACTGTAATATATTTCAGAGTTATTGTCTGAATCCTGATATACATGCTAAAAGGTACAACTTCCTTAAGTTTTGTCCATGAGTGTGTCTTCAATAAAGGTCACTGTAATATCTTTCAGAGTTATTGTCCGAATCCCGATATACATGCTAAAAGGTACAACTTCCTTAAGTTTTGTCCACGAGTGTGTCTTCAATAAAGGTCACTGTAATATCTTTTAGAGTTATTGTCCGAATCCCGATATACATGTTAAAAGGTACAACTTCCTTAAGTTTTGTCCATGAGTGTATATTTGAAACAGAGACACATAATTCCCCACAAACATATTTCCTATATTCACTTCAAATGTCAAAGTGCATCTACTTTATAAATTGAAAGACTAAACTAAAAAGATCGAAGAAGAAGATTGGCGTGATGATGAAAAATAAAATATAGCAAATTACACTGTAAGGGTCATCCTGAAAACTCCCAACTCACCTATTCTGAAATTTCTTCCATCCACAAACAAAAAATAACCTCTCTCTGGAAATCCACCCTAAACCACCCCTGGTACACCCCCATTCCTAACGAATCTTCTTTCCAAACCCTTACTAGGGAAGAACAAACGGCGATTTCAAGATTACGAACAGGACATCTTAGAATGTTCAAATTTAATGGAAAAATCAAAACATTCCCGAAATGCCCCAAATGCGATTCCCAACCAGCCAGTCCTGAACATTTTTTGAATTGTGTCAAATCCTCCAAAAAATACCTCTGGGAAAATCCCAGGACTATAATATAAAAACTGAGACAATGGAACCTAATGGAGATCATTTAAACGACTTGAGGAATAAACAACAACAGGTTACCAAGGAAAAAGACCTCTGGGAAAACCCCAGGACTATAATAGAAAAGCTGAGACAATGGAACTTAATGGAGATCATTTAAACGACTTGAGGAATAAACAACAACAGTTTACCAAGGAAAAAGACCTCTGGTAAAACCCCAGGACTATAATAGAAAAGCTGAGACAATGGAACTTAATGGAGATCATTTAAACGACTTGAGGAATAAACAACAACAGTTTACCAAGGAAAAAGACCTCTAGGAAAACCCCAGGACTATAATAGAAAAGCTGAGACAATGGAACTTAATGGAGATCATTTAAACGACTTGAGGAATAAGCAACAACAACAAATTTCTCTCACAGAATATTCCATTAGATTATAAACCCGCAGCAAAAAGAACATAAACATTAGAGAATCAATGTTACATCTACCATTCACTCACGTACATATAAATATTATATTGTTTCAATACCAATCCTAACTATTAGGTTTTTGTTATGTTTACGATAAAGAATCAAAGATGTGTCAAATTATAGGTTTAGTTTGGGACCACACAATTTATATTCGATGTTTACGTGCTTATAAATAAAACTGAAAAAAAAATAGAAAAAAATAAAAAGGTCAGGTGTTGATATTAAAAACAAAGTAGGCATATCCTGACCAGGAGCACATGTACTTTACAGCCTACTCCACGCTGACGAGCGCCAAAAGCGCGAAACGCGTTCGTGGATGGCTTTTCTTGGTTTATCAAGAAATTGGGTTGGCCAAATATCAGGGAACAGGTTAAATCAATGTTTAGTTGATTTCTGTTCCACCAGATGGCGCTCTGCCTTCTGTAAAGCACATGTGCTCCTGGTCAGGATATGTCTTCTTTGTTTTTTTTATAAATAAAACAATATTAAAAAATAAAAAAGGCATATCCTGACCAAGCTCACATGAGCCTTTCTAGATGACAGAGCGCCATCTAGTGGAACAAAAATAAACTAAACGTTTATTTAACTTGTTCCGTGATATTTGGCCAACCCAATTTCTTGATAAATCAAGAAAAGTCAACCACGTACGCGTTTCGGGCTGTTGGCCCTCGTCAGCGTAGTGCAGACTGTACCTCTACGACCAAAATTTAATCCCAGAGGCTTCCTGAGAAATCAAGAAATTGGGTTGGCCAAATATAACGGAACAAGTTAAATAAACCTTTGGTTTATTTTTGTACCTCTAGATGGCGCTCTTCCATCTAGAAATGCTCATGTGAACCTGGTCAAGAAATGCCATTTTTAATTTTAATATCAACTCCTGACCTTTATAATATACACTGGTGTCCAAAAAATAAGAAACTTAACCAATATTGAAATTTCTCAAAAGCTAATTTATTAACAAATATAAAATTTAGTATACAAATAGTTTAAACTATGGAGAATTTGACTAGCTATATGAAAATAAAAAAATATATTTGAAATTATGAAATATGTAAATTATTACCAACATACCCAAAGCTAAGTTTCCAGATCTTAAAGAAATAAGATATCAATAGGGATTATGATCACCTCTAACAGCTATCAAGGTCTCACAGCGAGCCCTCATACTGTTTACCAGGCTTTGGAGGAGGTCCAGGGGTAGTAAACCCCACTCCTCCAATAGAGCAGTTCTTAGCTCAACGAGGGTTCTGGGAGAGGGGTGACGAGCTCCAATACGCCTCCCTAGAGCATCCCACACATGCTCTATTGGATTCAGGTCCGGAGATCTGGCTGGCCAATCCATCCTTCGAATATTCTCACTCTGGAGATATTCATTGACTAGCCTAGCCCTATGCGGACGAGCATTATCGTCCATTAAAATTAAATTGTGACCAATTTGATCTATATAAGGTCTTAGATAGGGCTCAAGGATCTCGTCCCTGTACCTTTGGGCAGTTAAAGTGCCCCCAGAAAAAAATGTGGAGGGGTGTGCGTCTGCTAGAACTGATGCCAGCCCAGACTAAGAGACTGCCCCCTCTAAAACTGTCTATTTCCCTGATGTTACTGGGATGATAGCGGGTTCCAGGCTCCCTCCAGATGGAAACTCGTCGAGAATCTGTGTTTAAACTAAATCTTGACTCGTCACTGAAGAGAACATTGGCCCACTGATCATGAGTCCAGGCGTGATGTTCCAAGCACCAATTCAAGCGGGCTCTCCTGTGAACAGAGGTTAAAGGGATACAGACCATTGGTCGTCTTGCATAAAGAGCACCTTCGTGAAGCATTCGGTAAACAGTTTGTCTTGAAATTCTCGTTCCAGTAGCACTTGAGAGTTCATTAGAGAGTTGAATAGCTGTCATCTCCCTATGGCGCTTGGCAGTTACGACCAGATGACGGTCTTCAGAGGTAGCTGTTTTTCTTTTTCCACCAGAACCTTCTTTTCTTTTGATGGTTCCTGTCTCAATGAACTGTTTCCATATTTTGCTGACCACAGATTTATTCACATTATCCATTTTGCTACTTCAACTTGTGATTGCCCTGCCTCCATTCTTCCAACAGCTCTCCATTTTAAATCATCTGCTAAAATTTTTCGTAAACTCATAATTAACTAAGGATTAAATAAAATTATAATTGACAATTCTTAGATGGGGTAAACGACACGCCAAATAGCACACTTATAAAGACAAGCAAAAATGTGCATATTTTCAATTTTACCGAATCGAATGGTTGCGATAAATAAATTATACGACTTAAAATACCTAATTAAATTACATTTT